CACCTGATCCTCAGAGCAAGCTGGTTCTTACTCCCCATTCACACCTAGACATTTTAGGAACGTGCATCAAATGCGAATAAAAATGTGCACTTTGACAGACGTTCCCAAAACGCGCACAAATACAAAACACGCTTGCATTGCCGTAATATACGAACAGACCGCACTATCCAGAGAATTGCAATACTTCAGACTTTATTGAAATTCACAGCAAATCCAGTGTAACAGTGGATAAAAGTGTATGAAACCGCTATGAATAAGCCTACGGGTGAAACAGGTAAGAGGTTGTAGCTGGTTGGGGGTATTTGGTATTTGCCGTTTTATACACTGTTATACTGGATTTGCTGGGAATTTCAATAAAGTCCGTAGTATTGGAATTCTCTGGATAGTGCGGTCTGTTCGTATACTACATTGCAAGGTAGAGATGCACCTGTTAGACCAGCACCTAAGGAGTCCTGATGGCGGCTAAGAAATTGGAGCAGTGAGATTTCCTTTGCCTCTACGCTTGCATTGCCATTACTAGTTATTGGCTCCCCAAACACGTCCGAGAAATGGGGAGTAAAAACGTGCACAAACGTGTGGAGAAAAAAAAAACAAAAAAAAAAAACTCAGGATGTTTCAGACTTTTCTACATGAGCGTTTTTTCTGCACATACAGGAACCCATTGAAATCAATGGGAATGTGCAGCAAACGCGGAAAGAAAACACACGCGACTGTGACGCATGTCCGCAGAACGTCTATGTGTGAATGGAGACTTAGAATGGTCCCTTCCACCTTGCTCCCCCTCCGCTGCAGCAGTCTCAGGTCCCTGACCCATCACGTTCTATGCACCGTGTATAGGATGTGAGGACTCTGCGGGACATACCACCCCTGAAGCGTAGGGATTGGGTGAGTATAACTTTGCTGTAGTCGCAAAAATTAGCAGTTAACCCTTTGCAGTGTGGGGGTAGTGCAAGGATTAATAAAGTGTGCCCGGAGTTATGCTTTAAGGTCTGGGAAGCCGACAACTCCTGAAAAGAATTTTACACGACCACCTTCAGAAGAGCACCTGTCCTTACTAGACCTCAGCCGTGGTAGCATTCAGGTATAATCAGCTCATAGACATGCCTGAAGCCAGTTGCTGTTGCTTACATATGGATGGGATATAAGATGGTTATACACATACAACATCAGTGTGAGGTTTCCTGAGGATAGCACAGACAGACCACAGTAAACAATGACTTCCAGAACATGTGTTTATAAAGTGTAACTAATGGAACAGTGCATGGTCTGGAAGCTTTGCCTGCTCGGTCTCCATCCAGAGGGAGACAGAAACATGCAAAGCGTAAAGGTGTTGGCTTCCTTGTTGTTTCAAGTGTTCATAAGGAGAATTACACGGTCTGCAGAGCCTGCCCTTTAAGCCTGGGAGTCACCCTCGGATAAAATGGGGGCTTCTGATAAAGTCGTAAAACATATTAAAGTCTTGTGAGAAAGGAAAAAACTCACTTGAGCACAAGAAAAGGTTCCCGATTCATACAAAGTGGAGCCGGTGTTACTTATGGCAACTAACCAAACTCCAAAGTGTTATTTTTCTAACCTGACAGCCGGGATCTGAAGTTCCTTTTGCATTTTGCCATTTATTTACATGGCAAAGAAATTATATTCAGCTCTGTGGTATAACTAGCACGCAGAGGTGAACTCAAAGCAGATAAAGAGATTTTAAAAGGCAAAACATTTCTTTTTAAATGTTAGATAGAAGGAAGGGTAAAAAAACCCTGTCTGTTTTATTTTTTGCTGTCTGTTGGGGCAGTTTTCCTTCACTTCCTGTGCTGCGCACACAACAGGAAGCGAGAAGAAAGATCTCCAAAGTAATAGGAGTTCTCTTCCTGGGCAGTTATCACCAAAACAGGTGTACCAATTGGAAGATTCAGATCCGGGCTTTAACTTAAGCATTCCCTAATTCTCTATTTCTTCTTCCTGAGCAATTCCTTGGTGGATTTGCAAATGAGTTTTGAATCATTATCAATAGGGATGTCCCAATACCACTCTTTCAAGACCAAGACCAAGTACTTTCCTTCAGGTACTTGCCAATACCAATTACCGATACTTTTTCTTACATGGGGCATGTGACATTTTTTTCTAAAACAATACAGACTAATTATTTTAGGGCACTTTCTCACCAGGCTGGGTCTAGATGTCACCAGGGCTGCCAATGAATCTCTCCAGGGCTGCGTACAGATCTCACCAGGCTGCGTACAGATCTCACCAGGGGTGCCAATGAATCTCACCAGGGGTGCCAATGAGTTTCTCCAGGGTTGCGCCCAGATGTCACCAGGACCGATAATGAGTCTCTCCAGGGCTGCGTACAGATGTCACCAGGGCTGCCTATTGAGTCTCTCCAGCGCTGCATACAGATGTCACCAGGGCTGCATATTGCGTCTCTCCACGGCTCTGCTGACAGGTGCTGGGCTGAGCCCTCTCTACAGGCACATAGCGAGCCGAACGGAGCGGGGGCCTGCCTTGGGCACGCCCCAAGGCTGTATTCACGGTGTGGGGCTGCCTCGAGCTGTGCTTGCGCCAGGAAGGAGGAGATGTGGGACCTGGCAGGCAGTGTCAAAGACAGCTATTGCCACGTCCCCGGAAGGCTACCTCAGGACCCCACAAGCGTGGGATCTGAGGCAGCCGATCTGATTAAAAAATTTAGAGGGCCAGGATCGGCCTTCAGTATTGGGGCATTTTCACAAGTACTTGTGAAAATGCCCTGTATCGGCCCCGATACCCATACTAGTATTGGTATTGGGACATCCCTAATTATCATGTTGAAAGAAGAATTTTAGGTCATCTTTAACTTTTGGACAAATGGCCTCACATTCTCAAGGACAGTTTGATATAAACTTTTGTGATAAACGAATAGCCGCACACCGAAGGATCACCACATAAAACCAACTTTATTCAGATCCTGCCATGACGCAGTGCCTGCATTGCGCCCCTCAAATGCATTTCATGGGCTTAATCGTGTACACTTTGATATAATGCAGAATGTATAGATGACTTAATCACTGCAAGCTACACAGGCCTTGAAGCAGCAAAGCAACTCCAAATAATAACATTTCCGCCACCATGCTTCACGATTGTTATGCGGTTCCTCTCCTGAAATAGTGTCTTTGATTTGTGGCAAACATGTCTGTTACTGTGGCCAAACAACTCTATCATTCATTTATCAGTGTTCAGTACATTGTTCCAGAAGGTCTGGTCTTTTCCTAGATGTTCAATGGCAAGCTCTTTGCTTATAGGTTCAATGGAAAACTGTGATCTTGCTCGAATGTTCTTTTTTCGACAGCAAAGGCTTGTTCTCAACACATGTATCATGCAAGTTAAATTGATGCAATCTCTTTCTGATTATAGATGCATGCAATTTATGCCTAAGCCTTGCAGGAGTTACCTGAACACCTTGTAATGAAATTGTGAGGTTCTTGGAGACTTCTTATAGCAGGCTGCACAGGTCAGCTCTTGGGTTGCAATTGCTGAGCTGGCCAGTCCTGGACAAATTAGTAGCCGTTTGAAATCTACACCACTTGGTAGATCATTTCTTTCGCAGTAGAATGATTGATCTCAAATCATTTGGCAATCATTTTAAAGGGCCTTATCAGACTTAAAGGCATCGACAACTTTCTTTTTGAGGCCCTTTGGAGAGCTCTGTGGGCCTTGTTATGATGACACCGCACTTCAGTAGCAAAGAGAACAGGCCCTAGCTTTGCAAGGTTTAAATAGGAAATGTTCCACCTGCATATGCCCTGAAGAGGTTCTAATCATTGGCACCTAATCTGGAACACCCAAATCTAATTTAATGAATTAAAGTGGTGGTAAATATGGGGTGTACTTACTTTTTCCACATGACAAATCTGCATTTTTGTTTATTTAGATAAAAATGAATAAACCAGATCAATGTTATGTGCCATTTGTTTAAGTATATCACCTGTATCTGTAGGCACTAGGGATGCACCGATACCAAGTACCATACTCGGTACAAGTACAGATACTTTTCCAGCTCCAAGACTAAAGTAGAGAAAAATTCAAAAGTGAGGAGGCAGCTGTCATTTGTAAGGAGTGCGCGGAGCTCCTGGGATTTGTGCATCTCTGTTTTAATGTATGATTTTGTGTTTATAACTATATATTAGGGATGCATTTTTGCAAGTACAAGTACTGATACTTGCCCAAGTACTCAGACACAAGTACCGATACATTGTTGTTTATTGTCATGTGACATTTTTCTAAAACAATACAGACCAATTTCAGGACAGTGGTGGAGCGCCAGAGCTAGGTCCAAGCGGCAACCCTGGTAGTTCTCAAGTATCGGCGCATCCCTAGTAGGCACTGTTTGAATGCTCAAATCTATTGAAAAAGTCAACAATTTCCATGGGGTGTACTTACTTTTTCACATAACTATATCCACATTTCGACCTACATGATTATATTTTTGTTCATCCATTAGTACTTTTTTTTACAAGGTTAAACATTTATATTCAGGTTTAAAAAAGGAGAACTATGAGGTAAGTGCTTTTCACTCACCTCATAGTTCTAGCCGACCTGTGGCAATGAGACTGTCACACGTCGGCTTAGTAGATCGGGAGGTGAGCGAACACCGGCGTTCGCTCACCTCTCGATCCTGTCACAGCTCTCTGCCGTGACAGGGGAGGGGCTGGATTCCCCCCACCCCGCTAGCGCTGACTGGCGGAACGGATGGGGGAGGGTACAGCTGGCTCTGCCTTTAGATAGGCAGAGCCAGCTGTCACTCACGCATCTGGGCGGATCCAGACATAGTTGTCGGGATCTGCTTCAGCTGCGTCATCTCAGTATACCGCGAGCAGTAGCTGTGGCGTCTCAGTATACCGCGAGCTGTAGCGGTGACGGGAGGACGCTAGTTTGTGTCCTCCCGTTACCCTAAGGAAAACTATGGGGAAAAGCCTTAACCCCATAGTTCTCCTTTAACGTTCCTTCAACTTGTAGTAAATTGTAGCTCTTACCTCCGATATTCTGAATAAGAATGGTGCTTGCCACAATGATCTAAACAGAAAAAGATATAAATAATATGTCATGTAAAAATAAAATCAGCCATTATGTCTGGCAGCTCTAAAAGACTGACTGCAAATAAAATCATGTGGTTGTTTGCTCCACAATGGAAACCAAATGATTGCGCTTTTTCTAGTAACAAATTAAATCCGGGTATTGAGGATCTTACGGGGAAAAAACAATCATTGATGTGCTTCGCTAATTACATGGAGGCTTCTGAATATATGGCACAGAACAAATGCAAAACTATTTTTTTCTAATGCAAAATGGTCTTGAAGAATCACTGGGATGTGAATAGTCTGAGATTCGTGTGACTTATGTTGTATAGGAGAATGTATTTCTAGGATATTCTGATTTCAGTAATAGCGATATAAGCAAATGGGGGGAAAAAAACTAATACCTTTCCAGGTGAACCAAATGCGATGAGGCCAAGATCCTCATAGGACGTAACAGCTGGAGATATAACAAAGAGTTACTAAAAACCTAAACAAGATATAATTTTTCACTTATAGTCTCACATTTCTATAAACAGAAATAAATACAGGGCTGCGGAAATTTTGGGAAAAACTATTTCTCCAAGGACTAAAGCGGGGGACCCAATCTATGTGTCCCTACTTGTAATTTTAACCAAAACCAAATTTAGCTGTGCTAAGAAGACTTCCCGTTGGTCAGTGCAGTCAGGTGACTGTCCTGACCAATGTGTGCCCGCAATTTGCGAGCGGAATTCACAATCCATTGTGCAGAGCTGCTCTGGACAGCAGTGCGGAGTGCAGCTAGTACACCCATACTGGCGGAGGGAAAGGACCGTTCACCAAAAGGTAAGTACAGGTGGAGGGGGGCGGGGGGAGAAGCCAGATTTGATCAGGTAATTCCATTTTCCCAAGTTACTTGGGAAAGTGAACTCACCCTTTAGGGCAGGTTCACACCGTTTTCCGGACAAGATCTGGTCCGAAAAATGGTGTGGACCTGCCGCAGATCCAGTGCATTCAAGACCACTGAGACATGCAGTATTTGTCTGGAACAGACTGCACTGGTGTGAAGAGAGGCTTGAAATAGCATAGTGATACATTAAGATGCATTTTGGGTCCGGAAACAATCTGGTCTGGTCTGGAGATGATCTGGATGTGGTGTGTATGGGCCGTAAATGCACATTGTGTATGTGTTAGAGTGCTGCTGCCCAACTACCACAATATGGCACCTGTTCTTCTCTATGGGAGTACGCGGCAGCATGCTCACCCGAACTGCACGTCCATGCAGGTGTCCCTGCTCGGACGCAGACATGATCCATCCTGTTAGTATACGAGTAGAGACATCCGCACCGACATGCAGAAAATAGGAGAAACCAAAACACCATATACTTACTTGTTGGCAAGTGACAACAACAATCTTTTCTCTCTTGCAAAGCTATGGCCACCGATATTTACGGGTATGTCGGATGTTGTGTCCCTCCGAACAGCTGCTACACAAGTACTGTGCTGACATAGCAGCCTATCAAAGGAAATCCAGGAATAGCCGCACTCCAAGGGTCCTCGCCGAAGATAAAAATCTTTATTTATGGAGCAAATATATACTGTTAGTTCCTCTGTACATATGCTCAACCTCCAAACACGTTTCACCAAACCGGCTAACTCACAGAGATAGCATGACTGAGTAAGCCATAATGGTGAAACGGGTTAGTGCTTTCGAAAATGTGGAGAGGAACAGTATGTATTTGCTCCATAAATAAAGATTTTTATCTTCGGTGGGGAACGTTGGAGTGCGGCTATTTCTGGATTTGATTGCCATAGGCAGCGGCGCGCTTGTTTGTCTACACCTGGGATGCAATTACAGTGTAAGCCAGTTCTGGAATTTGAGCAGTGTTTGCTGTGGATTACCTAAGGGGAGGTTCAAACCATTTTCCGGACCAGATCTGGTCTGGAAAATGGTGTGAGCCTGCCGCAGTTCCAGTGCATTCAAGACCAGACACAATGAGACTTGCAGTATTTTTCTGGTCTGGAACGGACTGCGCTGGTGTGAACAGAGGCCTAAAATAGCATAGGGATACATGAAGATGCATTTTGGGTCCAGAAACAATCTGGTCAGGTCTGGAGATGATCTGTATGTGGTGTGAATGGGCCCTAAAACCTGCCAAAAGGAACCACAATGCCCAGCAGGGGGACACCCTATCCAACAAACCCCAATAAGGAAAATGCAGTAACAAACAGTAAGGGTGCAGACAGCAGCATGATGACATCATCATGCTGAACTCCCAAAACTTTGTTATTTCAGAGTCCTGGCTGATCAAAGTTCCATCTCTACATTTTAAATGAAACGTGAAACAGCTTTTGAAATGACATTAACATGTTAAAGCTTTTATGAGATTTAGTGATTGGGCTTACATCTACTTTAAAGCAGCCCTGGACAACAGGTGGCATTCAGGCAAAGCTTTTAGTAGATGAATGATGAGAGCCTGAGAAATACAAGAATAAGCCACTGTGTCATTATTTAATACCTTTCCAGTGTATGAGTGCTTACCATGCAAACCAACAAAAATGAAAACTTACCAGTTTGAATGCATAAACGGAGCAACAAGTGAATGGAGTACGCAGCCAACAGTGCCACTATCAACAGCAGAACACTAGGAAAGAATAAAGAAGACAGAAAGAAGTTCAATAGTCACCTTGAGATGGAGATACAGATATATTTCTGTTTCAGCAAGAATGTTGACTAAAAGGGAAGCCGCCATATGTTTTGTTTGCGCGAATGATGACGAAAAAGCCTTTTGATGACAAAGTTAGCCTAGCTGAGAAAAAGCTGACACTAAGTTACAAAATAAACTATGTGCAAGGCTCATGAACCTCCTGAATATCTATATGTATATTGATCTATCTAAATAGAGACACACACACGCACTCAAAAGGAGCGGCCCTGAGAGAAAAAGTTATCTCTCAGGTCCGCTCCTCTGCTCAGTAGGGTTTCAATAGCTAGTCTGCTATTGACTATTGCAATTTGAAATAGCTAAAAGCAGGCTGGCTATTGAAACCTTGGCCACCAAGCAGAGGCGCGGACCTGAGAGAAAACGTTCCATCTCAGGGCCGCTCCTCTGCTTGGTGGGCAAGGTTTCAATAGCCAGCCTGCTACTGGCTGTTTCAATTTGCAATAGCCGACTAGCTATTGAAACCCCACCTACTGAGCAGAGGAGCAGATCTGAGAGTGAAAGTTCTCTCTGAGGTCCGCTCCTCTGCTCAGTGGGTGGGCACAATAGCCAGCCTGCTATTGGCTATTGCAATTTGAAATAGCCAATAGCAGGCTGGCTATTTCTCCCCATTGTTTACATTCTGCTGCCGACCTCGAAAATCTAGCCGCTGGCCGGCAGTGAGAGGCAAACAAAGAATTTATTTAGCAACTAAAAACATTTGTTTGTTAACAAAAAATTTTAGTGTACTGTCCACTAAGCAACTGGCAATTTTTTTTAGTGTCCATCAAGTCACCGGCAAAAAAAAAAAGAAAAAAGAAAACTGAGCATATGTTATTCCCTTGATTTTTGTTTTTGCGGGTTGCTTGAGAGTGTCAGTTGCTTGAATGCTGGATAATGGGGTTTACTGTAGTTCAATATTGCTACCCTTTAAACAGAGGGCTGTTCAGCGATTAATAAATAAAAATGTCGACGTCAGAATTAAGGCTGAACCTTTATTCAAAACCAGCATTGCTGAGACCGACTGATTATTAGGACATAACTCAACATCTCTTTCATCTCAGCACTGGCTGATCATCGATAAGGATTCAGACTTCACACAGCCCTTTGTTAACAAGCTGAGGGAGCCCCGGAATAGCTTCTTTTTCAAGTGGAATGAGTTTAAGGATCCATTTTAAAGCAAGAACACATTGTAGTATGCAGCATTACGAGTACTTGTCATTGACATACAGGGTATAAAGAATAAGCGTTCTCCAGAGGTGGATGGAAGTTGTTAGGAAACATGAAGTCATGAAAACAGTCAGCTAGCAGAAAATGCTGACCAGCTTCCTCTTTTATTACATTTCAAAGCCACAGAAATTGCTGTATTTGTTACAAGTATTAATGTGCACTCTGCACTATTAACACCCAAGTAGCTGTGCTGTAGATATTTAGATATACATACATATATACACACACAAAAGATAATGTCGAACAACGAAAATCACAAAGTGTGTGACTTCCACACATGCACCACTTGGGCAGATCCATTCTCAGATATACATGACCCATTAGTAGGCATGTTAAAAAAAGTGCTTCCTATAGTAGTGTCGTTGGTACTGGACGATATATTGGAAAATCGGACTTCTTCAGCTCCCTATAACTCTCGTTTGTTTCTCACAAGTATGAGGTATGGCCAGTTTAACTTTAAACCTACCTTCCACCCCACCTGACCCGACTTCCACGTCTCAGTGTACCCGTAGTGTGATGTAAAAACAGAATCCCTTCTGGGTGATCAATGTACATTGGAAGGATTTTAACAAACTTTGTTGCAGACATGGTGTAAACAAGCCCTAAAACAATATCAATACTAAAGGAACTTAGTGGCATTCTGTATTATAAAGATTGCAGTCAGGAAGGCATTATAATACGCTCCACTAGCTGATGACCCTTTTATCTTCCTTGTCTTCCTTGACAGCATTAGGGACGTCTCTGAATGTCAATGTGGCAGACAGCTTCTGAAGAGCAGCCCAGAGGCAGATTACCTTGCATGAATTCAGAATATGTACTATGCACAGCAGCCACCTGTATATACATGGAAGTACACACTCACGGGAAACCTAGATTAGACCCACTCTGGCCTTCCAGACTCCATTTCTGAAAGTCTACAGTTATGTACAAAGAAGGAAACAAAATGTATATCTATCTATCTATCTATGAGGTGCTCCCCATCAAACCCTGTCCCTAATTCCTTATATGTAGTAACAAAAAATGCCCAGGTGTTGCAGCACTAAATCTTCTCTATTTATTCATCAAAAAATAATTATGACATGATACGAAAGGGCCCTTTTGTATCATGTTATGATGATGATTATTTTTTGATGAATAAATAAAGAAGATTGAGTGCTGAGCACGTTAAAAATATTATGAATATCTGAATACAATGGGGGTGTTTTGCTAAAAACTGGATAACATTCTTAAACGGAATAGCTCACCAATATAAGAGCACTTAGAAATACAGCAGTTTACCAATTCGATGAAGCGCCACATTTTTGCATTGTCCACCAGTAACATGATTACCGTTACACTGTAATACATATTTATCCCCAGGCACTATAGATGTCTATCTGCAGTGTCTAGGCCTACTGACGTGTCAGCCCCATACAGTTTCTTTGTTAAAGTCTCAGTAATTTAAACATAATGTGACAAATCTGCTAACTGCTTGTCATTAGCAGAAAAATCAATCGGTTTCAGTCTGTGACACTGTATTTTCATGTCACATGTTACACGCTTCCTTTTATACTACCGTGTGTCTCAGAAAACCTACAAGACATGGGCTAACATATCTATACAGTATAAACAGGGTACTTATACACGAAAATATAAGCCACTAGTGCCGAAGATGACCCCTCCACTGGGAATGTATGCACGCTGGAATTCTACAGGTGGCTGCCCCACATCAGTCAGGGACACTGGAGTATCTGACAAAACATAGAAACAAACAGGGGGCGCCTTCACTAGTGTAGATGGTTTTTATTAAGCAAATGCAAAAGAAAGAGTAATACTGGGGGGCAGAGCTATGGCGGGCTGGGGGGTGCCTCACCCAGCACAGAAGGCACGGCACGTCACTGGCTTACACATGGTTGAGGATGTCATGAATTTTGTCATATGACAGTGCTGGGCCTGGAGATAGGCCACTCAACCCTGAGCAGTGCACCCTAAAAGGGGGTCACATGCTCTCCGACATGCCAGGTAAACAAGCTACAAAGAGTTAAATTGTATTAAATACCTGAAGCCAATGATTCCCGTGCTGGCCATAGCAAAAGATAGCCCCAGGATTCCACTTCCCATGATGGCATTCATTAGATTGAAGACTGAAAATCCAAAGGAGGCTCCGGGCGATGTCCTGCCCTGTGCTCGCTGCAAGACAGTAGCAAAACATGTCAAGTCTGTTCTTAAATCCGCCAAAACAGCTTACAGCTAATGGTATGCAATCAACGTAGGCCTGTCATGAAAGAAACACCTGCTGACCTCATTTTGAAAATGCCATTTGCCTGACTTTTCTTGCTTGGATTTTGATGAGATCCTGACCTGGAGCATGCATGCAGCTAATGAGAGTCAGAAATCCTCCCAAGGAGAGTGTATGTGTGCCATATACCAACCTCAATTGACAGCAATCACTAAAATAAAAAGCAGTCAACAGTCTGAATTCTACTATATGGGGCATTACAATGGACTGGTACTAAGTCAGATTCAGGTACATGCACTAGCTGCATTCAAATATACATTTAGAGACTGTTTAAGTAACACATAACTACATAAATTGGCGTTTTCTTTTATCTGCCTAGGGTTCAGCTTTAAAAAAAAAATGCTGAGGCTCCATCATCCCACGTCAGCATTTCTCAGGTTAAGAAATATATCACAAGGGCTGTAATCATATTACAAGGTCAGAAATTCAGCAGCACTATGCTACTCAAAGGGAATATGCATTTCAAGCGGATATACACAAAGCAGGATAGCCAAAGGGTTTTTAAAAACTGTCAGTAGACACAATGAGGTGGATTTACGAAGGGTGCATTCACACCAAAAGCAGAAGGAAATCGCAAGTCAACTGACAGATTTCCTTCCAATCTGTTGCGTTCTGATCTGTTTTTCAATGGATGCCAAGAGAAGGGCACTGAAAAATGAATGGCCGTGAATGGGGCTAGTTCACACTGCATCTGTTGCGTTACGTTGTGCTGAAAAAAAGTAGTGCTTGTTCTTTTTCTTTTCAGTGTAACGTAATGCCACACAACGGAACAGAGCGTTGTGAACAAGCCCCATTCATTTTTCTGGGCCTTTCCATTAGCATCCCTTAAAAAAACATATCGCAACACAACTGATCTGGTGTGAATGGGCCCGGAGGGCTAGCGTTCTGGCCTGATCCGATGCAGTTAGAAAAAAATAGTGCATGCTGCATTTCTTCTGACCGCACCAGTCCGGCACGCAGGCATTGATGTGCATTGAGTGCGGGCGATTGCACTGTGTCCGGGGGTGTGGCTGCGGTGCCATTGACTTCAATGCAACGCCACAAGCCCCCCCGCACCCCCCAGAACGCAGTGAGTCGGCCGGGATGCGATCCAGTGCGTTCCGGCACAAAATCGGGCCAAAACCCACTGAGGCTGGACTCATCTGTGATGAGCTGGACTGGGTGCTCGTTTAGCCCCTCATTCACACAAGAAACGGCTGGCCCATATCCGTGCTGCGTGCATGGCCGTATCGGGCAGCTCCAGGGAAGGACAGTTGCTGCATGTGATTTGTACGCAGCAGCTTGTTCTTCTATATAGGAAGACGCGGCCGTACGCCACTCTACGCTCACCTGAACTGCACATCTGTATGGGTGCGGGTGTCCCTGCTCGGACGCAGACAGGATCCATTTTGTCAGCGTACGAGTACGGACACCCGCCCGGACGTGCAGTTCGGGTGAGCGTACGGCCGCGTACTCCCATAGAGAAGGACAGGCTGCTGCGTACAATCACACGCAGTACCTGTCCTTCCCGGGAGCGGCCCGATACAGCTGTGCACACAGCACGGATCGGCCGTTTCTCATGTCAATGAGGGCTTAAGCGGATGAAGGTGGATTGACCTGGAGCAGCACTGTCTTTGGACTTTCTACATAGTGCTACTTCGCAGAAACACCAATCACTGGATTCCTTCTACCAGGGAAAATGACAAGCATGCCAAGTATTTCACTTTTGAATTAACACTAGGAAACCATGTAAAGGTGCAGTCACCATATACAAATGAGAAGTGGAAAAAGTTGTCTTGGTAATATTCTACTAGCCTTGTGTTGGATTGTCTGTCTCTCTGTATTGAAGATTAAGGGTCAGTTCACCCAGTAATGATACTCCATCGTTCAGTAGATAACCCACCTGACAGTCTCTTGTATCTCTGAGGACGAGATCTTTACACAGAATTCCTGGGTCTGCACACCTACTGTGGCCATCATGAATGGCTCCCTCTCTCTCTCTGTAATATATTGTATATTATGCAGCACGTAACACGAGGTGCTGGACCAAAGGTGAGCATGAGCCACTAAAGCTGGCCATACACCTATGGAGTATCTGCAGATTTTCTCTGGTCAGATGAAAAAGTGCAACAGATTACTCCATCTACGCTAACTGTGTGGATGGAGGAATCTCCCGCTGGGCCAAGCTTCAGTATCTTGCTAGTCGGCCCTGCTGGCTCTCCAAACACCTGAACAATGCCTGCATCCAATCAGATTATTCAGGTATTTTGAGAGCCAGCGGGGCC